CACAGGAAGAATGGTCTTGAAAATAAAATGTTTAAACATCACAGGACAGCACACCTCCCGAATCCAGTCCCCAGGCTCAGTTCCTTAAGTTCTACATCCCCCAAATACGATGCAGGCTGTCTCTGGTTTTGCTCTACTCTGTCAAACGTGTGCATGTGACGCTGAACTGACATGCAGAAGTGTGCTGTCCCAAATCAATTTTCTTACGAGTTTTAATAATGATATGTTTTGTCTGCTTTGAACGACTATATAAAGAACTCTTCTTATCTCTACTTGCCAAATACAACGGTGTGGAAAAAAATCCAAGTGTGAGTCTGAAGAAGGGGCACCCTGCCCACTGCTTTCACAGACCTGTCTCCATTTGCCCAGGTGGTGCCGCACTGGGAGAACTTTCCTGGGTAATCAAGAGATGTTCCTGCTTATTAATCAACAGCAAATGTCTCATCGGAAAGAAACATGTTGGTGTCAATCTAGAAAGAAATCCTTTCCTAAATTGGGCTCGAGTCAAAATGCATAGTGGATACTAGAGCAATAAAATGTGAAAACCAACGGGGCAATGTTCAAAGAGTAAAAATGATCTACTTAGAAAAAATTTTTTATTTTTCAATCATTAAAAAAGAAAAAGAGAATCATCCCTTTTCAGGCTAATGTAAGATCAAAGATGAGAATGCCAAAATTTGTTTTTGAAAACGTGCTGAAACGTGTTTTTGTAACGTGCTGAAATGAGCACTTAAAGATACCTGTTGCATAGGCTTCACCTGTTTGCACATTATAGCACGTAGGTGTGGCCCCAATTCCAAGAATTCTCTGATCCATTGCCAAGAACTGGCAGTGCCTCACTGGCCATGACCTTGTAGTTGAGCACTGCAATGAAGTCTTACTCTTAGCCACTGAACCTCAAACTATGACGCATTCAGAGTTTAGAGAAACTTGCAATTCTTTTGAAAAATTGCATGTATCTTCCAGAACATGCTTCATTACAAACTGCTAACTAAAGAAAAAAAAAGTATTAGTAAGGCAATACCACTTCCTGAATGCACAAGAAGGCTCTGAAGACCCTCCATTGAACACTGGTACAGTACTCGAGGGGTGATTCAGTCCAACTTTTCGCAGACTGTTAAAAATCTAAATCATGTTGTTGAGTTTGTGTGTGTGTGTGGGGGGGGGGGAGGGGGTTGTGAAGAAGGTAGAGGAAGAAAGTCTGAGTTGATGGTTTTTAGAAAATCTGAGGAGGAGGGGACTTTCAAGTTCATTCAACAAATAGAGAGCTTTGAAATGCTTCCAAGTCAACTCCTACTTGAAATGAGCAGCTAATATTAATTTATAATCAGAGATGCCAATATGTCTGATGTGCTGAGGTTTATTAAAAAGTCATAAACTATTCCACTCATTAACTATATTCCTTATACTCCTTGTATCATCATCCTGTATTCATGGAGAGTAAACCCTGCATTCCTAGATAATGCCTAGATGAACATTAACAAAGGTCAGATGGCCACAGTTCTATAATGGTGAGAACCAAATTAATCAGGTTATCATGCATACAGAATATGGATGAGGAGGTTCATTTTTGCTGAGCCTCTTTTGTGTTTCAACTCTTAAAACATCATCCTAAATAGGAATTAATATTCCCATTTGAGATTAACATACCTACCCAGGACCATCTTGGTAATTGGCAGAGCTGGGATGAAGCTCACGTCAGATTGCCCAAAGCCCACGCCTTCCCTGCTACCCCTTGCTCTCTCTCCAGTTCTCTGTAGACAGTATTCACACAGTGTTAATGTTTAGAAATTAAACCTCTTAGGAAGTAATCTCAGAAACTGCAGAACATTTCTAATGGCTTATTCGTAATTCTGCTACATGTCATACCCCCACCAAAGACTGAAAGTGCCTTTCTAAAATAATAAACTGGACAGATCATTTACTATCGTGACAAATAGCTGGGCTAAAGCATCGACTTATGGTCAAATGGCTCTGGAGATGTCAGCCCCCAAAGACAAAAGTGCTCCAATCAGCACTGACCACTCAGCACAGAAACCGCACATACAACCAACAAACACTAGAGGTGCCTGGTTTGCTCTGAACTAGTAACTTGCAATCTTGTCAATCAATTATCTATTGTTTCTGCTTTGCCTACTTTCAAAAAGAATCCGAAGTGTCCAGCTCAGAACAAAGACTGCAACAGAAAATAAATAAATGATAGGTTTGTGGGATGTGGGGGGTGCAAAATGGGGGGAAAGAGGGAATAAGATAATAAATCTATTCTCAAACTTGAATTAACATAGATTTTATCTGGTGGGATCTGACAGGGACTTGGATTAATTTACTTTGTTAGACATAGAAATGGTATGAAAATCTGAGAGGCTAAAAAGGTTTAAAAGGATACTGTGTGAGAAAGTTGTCTGGCAGCTTTCTCCGAGATGCTACAAAGATAAACACTAGGAAAAAAGGGTCCCTTCTGCGTTAGTGAGGTTGAATTAATAAGATCTTACTACTAGTATAATAAACCAATTGTCTATGGAGTCAGTCTCTTTCGACATTATTAATATGTCAGGCGTTGCCACGGTGTATGGAGGGAGCCCTAATGCACCACTTCCCTTTTTTAAAAGCGGAAGTCTGGTTATTAATGTACAAGACTTTATACACCGAGGACTAAGGGGCTCTACGTAAATAATATTCATACTTTGCTCACTCGAATAAGAGTACAAATTTAGAAAATGTTTTAATGGGAATCTTTCAGAATAGATTGTGCTTTGTCTCACACAGCTACTAAACACAGTTTAATCTTTTTTGGATGCACCGGGGTCACGAAGGCAGCAGGCCAAGGTCACTGGGCTTGAAGTCAGACAGACCTGGGTTTGAAATTGTGCTTTTTCTGGCGTTAGAAATTGGGGACACTGTGTGGCTAGCTGGGCACCGTTAAATAAAGTACGAGGAAGCCCTTTCTTTGTTTTGTGAACTATAAGAGAAAAAAGATTCTTTGTGAAGTAGTACTTTGTTGTTTTTAGTTTGTGAAAAAGTGACGAAGGCCCTGAAAAGAATGGAGGGTTTGAAAAATACTAAGTGCCCTAGAGCATTTAAGGCTGTGATACCTTGCTTTTTAATGACAGCTAAATATTTCATGTGCTATTAATATTTCATTACATGCTTTTCATTTTTTTTTATCTCTACATGTCTACTTTAAATTATTTTTCTGAATTACTAAAAATATTTGTAGTGTATCTTGATGTCAACGTTTTGAGAATGCGAAGTTACAATGTCAGCCCATGGGAGGGGGGATATTTGCATTTACAGAAAAAATTTTATTCTCCCAAGTAAGAATGAAGAATCTGGGTTTTTGAAACGTTATTTTGTAGTGAATGAAAACCAGGTGCTTATTTAAATGAAGGAAAATAAATGTTTCTTGGACTCTTAGATAACGACTTTTTTTTTTTTAAGTCTACCTCCCCTCTATATCAGTGAGGAACTCAATCTTAGGGGTTCGCTGACACAGACTAATGGGAAGATCAGGAGCATTGTTTGCTGGGAAATGTGTGAGAAGCACATGCCTTTGTTCTCCAGGGGACGTGGGAGCTGTGTAGACGAGGCGTTTGGGCCTGGAAGAAGGTATCCAGGAAAGGGAAGCCATCATCTTTCCTTTCGTTAAGCTTTTGTATAATCGCACATTAAAAGAGACTTGGTTTCATGTGCACAGACATTCTAAAACAGTTCAGTGTCTACATCTAGTATTTGCAGCAGTTCCATTTGTATCATAAGAGCCCAATTTTGCTGTTTCTAATTATTTTGGAATAAACTGTCAAAAATATTTAGGTTTATCAACCTAACGATTGTTTGTCTGTTCTCGGAGAGATTAGAGAGCAAAATGTTTTGTGACTAGGAGTATGGAATTCATTTTCTTATCAAACACAGAAACATTATGGCCAAAGTGTATCCTGACAAGTATATATTAGGCATATAAGCAACGGGTTTCGGGACCTCCCGGTCATTTGCAGAAAGACAATCCTTTTATTGTGCTGGCAAAAATGCCTTTGGTTTCCTGCCATTAAACCTAAGTGCCAGTGGAGGTTTGCACAGAGTTGACAAAGCTTTATACAATATGCTCTTTAACAGAATAATACCTATACCTGGAAGAGTAATTTCTATTTCCCAAGGAGATGAAACATTATGTTTCTTCACTATATGTGAGAAACATACATTATTATCTCCTCCTGGTCAGATGTAGATTTTTCTATCTACTTTATATGCTTGCCTATTTCTTGCCTACTGAGTCACTTCCACTAACGGTGGGGCGGGGGTGGGGGAAGCCCAGAAGACCCCTACTAATTTCTTCTAAATTGAATGGTAGTTTCACGGAGAAGTTTTCCTTTAATTTATATGATCAGATTGTGTTAAGTAGAACCAGATTACGGGGCTAAACATTTCCATATGCTATAGAGGCCCAGGACTTTTCCTGAAAGGAGACACCATTCTGACTTCAGATATTACCTGCTGCTTCCAGAAATGGCTGCAACCCACCCTGATTTTACCCTCTCCCAGGCTCCAAGGGTCACGTGTAAGCACACGGAAGGGATGCTGCCCCCTGGCACTTCCTGTGGCCTGGAAGGACTCTTCCCTCTGCCACACTCCTGGACTCCAGTGGCTATCAGACTTTGCCCTACTCACTGCCACTTGCCTTCATCTTCTGCATGTGGGATGAAGAATCAGGACAAATGCAGGCAAGAAAGGCAGAGTTAAATTCTGGCCATCTGGTGCCCTGCCTAGAACCACTCTGAGCCTTGGTGGACTCTACAGATGCTTTACAACTCACCCCTTGGCGATGGGACATTTCGGTGCCACTAACCTTCCCCTCTTCACCTTATGCTCCAGAAGTTTGTGAAACCCCAATGAGTCATGAAGAATCGTAATTTCAAATCCAAAGAATCCAAAGTGATAGTAACAACAAATAATAACTGATATCTGAATAAAGGCTAGTATTGGACAATGGATAAATATTGGTATACCTTCCTGTCCTCAGGGCTTTGTTGGCATAAATTGTGGACGTCGTCTTCTCTTACTAATTTTCCAGGCCAGGAAGTCAGTCCTTTGATTTGGCCCCAGACCAAGTCGCCAACATTGAACGTCCTTGGCCTATAATGTATCAGCTCGTTTGAAGAGGGGGAGTCTGGATTCCGAAGGTCCTCTTCACTACTAATGCTTTTAGCGTCTGAAGGGCTAGGCACACACCCGTTCATGCTTTTGGCATTGAAGTCTCCATTGTAATGGATGTAGTCTTTGACCAGAGAACCTTCCAAGCTATTGGAGGAGCTTGGTGACTGCTCCCCCAGGACCAGGTCTTGCTTTGTGGTGCTCAGCAGCTCCCCGAAGCCACGACCCTGCCGAGGTCTGTTCCCGTTGATGTGTGCACATCTCTCCACAGTGTTCTCTAGTCTCTCCTTGAAACTCATCATAGTTCTTTTGTAGTTATTATACCTGAAATTCTCCTCTAGAATTTTATCCCCCTGACAGTTTCTTGGTGGTAACAGTATTGGGTGCTGCTCCCCAGGCAGAAATGGCAGTGTAGAGACATTGTTGGGCCTTTCGTGACAAGGACTACTGTGAATATGGCCTGGATGATCTAAAAACTCCTCGCACTTCCACCTGTTCCGTTCCCCTCCAGGGCTCTGCTCCCCATCCCACTGTTTTTTGGATGTGTGGCAACTTGCTGACTTGAAATATTCAAACCCATCTCCCTCGTGTGAGTTTTTCCCATGGTCCGGATTTCTGGGCAGCCGAGGCCCTCTTGTATTCCTCAGCCTACCATCGTGATCGACACTGCCCATGTTCCGTCCATGAATGACTGCACTGACAGCACTGGGGAGACTTAACGGGTCACCAATTGAAGCAGTGAAGGCACTCATGGCACTCAGAGCTGGAATGGGGCTGATCTGAGTTGTACTGTTGACTGCTGTGGTGATGACAACCTGCATTCCTTTGCTGGCAGCATCAACAACGGCCTTATAGATGGCATCTACGGAAGCATCACCTTGGCCCCCCACAATGAGGCCGTCCTTCACCTGCTGACCAAGAGATGGGTCAATCCTCGGTTGTAGCTCACAAGCTGTATCTTGGAAAGGTGGAAGTGTAGTGTTCGGATTCTCAGGAAGTGCTGTGAGTCCTGGCTGAGTGCTTATTCTTTTGTTTAGGAGAGCTGCATCTTCCTGCATTCTCACCTTAAAGAAATAGACAGGAAGCAGTAAGAGAGAGATAAATAAATTTAAAGACCTTAAAGATCTACCAGAAGACAAATACATATAGTGGGGAATAAAAATGACTCAAAAATGAAATTAAAAAGTTACTCTGTATAGAAAAGCTTATGTTTTGATTATATTTGGGTACTCTTTCTCTTTATTAAAAATAAATTGTTCAACAGATTTATTTTTAATCATTATTACTAAACATCCTTTAGAAAAATTAAAGTTGAGACTATTGGACAAATATGTTTTCAGATGATGACTTCAAGTATTTAGTATCATTATAGGTTTTGCAAACTGGGACTCAAAGAAAGAAGCGAGCCAGTCACCAACACTGTTCAAATTACAAAGGGAACCAGATTTTGAAAATGATTTCTCCTGAACTAAGTGAAATACCACAGAAGATAAAACAAAACAAAAAAACACACACTCTCTTCTTCACAACAAGATATTTCTAATACACCACTAAAATTTTAAAGTCTAATTTTCAACCTTACCAGGCATCAGCTGAGTGACACCCCTGTGCTGTCACCAGTGACAATGGCTCCTTATAGAAGTGATTCTCAGTTGGGAAGAGGTGAAGGGAGGGAATGCCACAGGGAAGAATATTAATGCTTAGAACAAGAAGGATGGGTGCAGTTTGGGAAAAGTCATTGAGGTCACTCTAACTTCACCAACCCCATCTAAGAATCGCTGCTCCAGATCTTTGATACTTGGGATGTCACCCCCCACACCCTGGATCATTCCCTTCCCCACTAAACCAGAACCTGGGAGCACCAGCACATCAATGACTCTCTTGCCACTTTCCCCGGGTCTACACCTACCAGATAAAATCCCAGTCCTGAATCAATTCAGCTACCTCATCTAGCTATAGCAAGGGTGTTGAGTCTGTGATGCTTCACCACTATTCAGATTTCACCCACTTCCACAAGCTGGCTGCTGTACTGTCTCTGGCATCATTCTTAATAGATGGCCTTACTTAACACAGAAAATGGAATTCATAGGCTAAGAATTCTCACAATTCTTATACTCTGCTCCTCCCTGGCTTCTGGCGGCACATACTTCTGTGCAACTTTGTCCCAAATCCTGTCCTGCTTCCCAGGGTCAGAGGGGCCCCATCTGCTCTCTGAGAGCAAGTTCTCCACTTGTGCTTTGGATCCTACTCCCTCCTCAGGGATCTTGCCTTACCGATTATCCCTTATCCTCTTTATGTTCTCTTTTCCACATTAAAAAAAAAAATAAATTTAATGGTTAATAAAATTACTTATATTTCATATGTACCATTCTAAAATACACCATCTGTATATTTTATTGTGTATTCACCACTCCAAGTCATCTATCCGCCCTTTATCTATCCTCTTCTAATCTCCCAACCCCCACCCTTTCCCTCTGGTAATTATCATCTCTTCTTCTTTTTGGTTTCTTTTCTTTAGCATACAACTACGTGCATGGCTTTCATATTACAAAGTTTGCAATCAACCTATGCCTGCCTTGGGACATTACCCTGTTTGTCGTATGCTCTTTATCGCTCAGCTTTTTTTATTTTATTTAAGTTTTTCATCTACACTCTTTAATTCCCAACCGTTTTCATCCTTTCATCCATTGCAATCTGGCTCATGCTCCCACTACTCCACCCAAACTGCATCCCATCAAGTCCTTGGTGACGCGCTCACTGCTGAATCTAATGGCTTCTCTGCAAGCTTCATCTGCTTGTTTTCTCGGTGACATGGTTGAACACTTCCTCTTCCTTTCTAAAGTATTTTATTACTTAAAATGTAAATGAATACTTTTACATTGTCCAAAAAGGCAAAAGTTTTCTTTATCATTATGCCCCACCCAAATCTGTACTTTGCTAACCTACTGCAATCCAATTTCCTTTCTTAGAAGTATTATAGTAATCTTGCCGAAACTGGTTTGGCTCAGTGGATAGAGCGTCGGCCTGCAGACTCAAGGGACCCGGGTTCGATTCCGGTCAAGGGCATGTACTCTGGTTGCGGGCACATCCCTGGTAGGGGGTGTGTAGGAGGCGGCTGATCGATGTTTCTCTCTCATCGATGTTTCTGACTTTCTGTCCCTCTCCTTTCCTCTCTGTAAAAAATCAATAAAATATATTAAAAAAAAAAAAAAGAAGTACTATAGTAATCAGTGCTGGAGAGCATCCTTGCAGACACATATTTTTAATACATTCAAGTGTGTAGGTGGATATCTAATCTTTCTTCTTTCCTCCCTCCTTTCCTTCTTTCTACCTTTCATATAAATGGTATTTTACTTTTCTTCTGCAATGCTATAGTATTGAAGTCTTGCAATCTTGTGGACCTTAACATATCAGATTATATAAGTCTAGCTAATTTTTAAAAATATATTTTTATTGATTTCAAAGAGAGAGGGAGAAGGAGAGAAAGAGAAACATCAATGATGAGAGAGAATCATTGATTGGCTCCCTTCTGCATGCTATACACTGGGGACTGAGCCTGCAACCTGAGCAGGAATTGAACTGTGACTAGGAATCGAAATGTGACTTTCTGGTTCATAGATCACTGCTCAACCACTGAGCCACACCAGCTGGGCAAGTCTAGCTAATTTTTAAAACTAGATAGATGGATCTACCATACTATATTTCACCATGTCCCTACTGATGGGTGTTTAAGCAATTGTAATGAACATTCTGAATTGTGCCTTCTGGTTCACATCAAAGACTTCTTTAACATAGACACATAGAAGTTAAATTTCTGTGTCAAAGATCATGTGTATTTAAAAACCTGATAAACCAAAGTTACTCTCCAAAAGGACTGTATCAGCATCTAATCAGACCAACAATATATATCATTATCCCACACTACTGCCAGCATGTTATTATATAACTGATTATTCTTTTCATGTTTATTAGTAATTTTTATTTTCTGTGAATTGACTGTTCACATCTATTGCTCATTTTTCTAATTAATTACCTTTATTTTTCTAATATGTAGAAGCTCTTTTTATATTACAGATATCAGATATTTGCTATAGTTATGCAAAATTTTCTTCCAGGTTATCACTTGTCTTTCACTTTGTTTAGAATACACTTAATCATACAGATTTTAAAGGTTTATGTATTCAATTTTGTTACTTTTTTTTACTACTTTGTTTTGTGTCTTCTTAAAGAGCCTTTCTTACCCCCAAATTATAAAAACATCCTATGTTTTCATCTTATACTTACTTAGTGTTACTCTTTCCATCTAGCTCCTAAATCCATCAGGAAGTTATTCAGTTTATCTAACTAAGAAGAAGACCAAGTGGCTGAAGCCACGGAGAGAGTGGAGAGAGCTGGGGCTGAGAGTGAGGCAGGCAAGGCAGGCATGTTAAGGATATGGATTTTAATCATGAGAGCAAAGGGATTAAACCCTCAAAAGGGTGTAAGAGGGTACCAAGATCAGCTTTTACTAATAGCTCTAAGAGGATCAGTGAGATGCTTCAGACAAAATAAAATAGCCTTCACCCAAAGACTAGGATGTTTAACAATATTCATGATAGAGAAATGACAGTAATAGAGGTGGAAGGGCATATACTAGTAACTTCCTTCTTTTGTCTCTGCCCAAATTGTTTAAAAAAAAAAAAACGTAGACATTGGTTTCTACTAAAGTAACCCAGGGAAGGAGAGTACCTGAAAGTTCTGAAACAGACAAGCCATAGGGTTATTGTTAGCTGGGCAGGGCACTGTGGGCTGTCCTGGGAATGCCTGGAGGCTCGGGTACCCCTGGAGAATCTGCTGCTGCTGCTGATTTGGAGGAAACATCTGATTGTTGTTTAACAGCGACTGAAGATGAGTCAGTTGATGATTATTCAAAGTATTGTTTATTGAGGACATGTCACCTATATTTGGAAAACATAAAATGTTAAGTCAATGGGATTCTTTGGCAATCCTATGCCTGTCTTTGTACCCAACGATTCCTGAAACAAAAACTAAAAACTAGACTTACATGATAAATATTTTTTTCTCTTTTTCTCCTCAAAGTCTCACTAAGTGGTAAGGAAAGAGTATTTTACTATTTAATTTTATTTCTCATAATTAATTTTTTGGTTTTATGTCATGAGAGATGAGTCTTTCTCTATCCTTTAGCCAGTCCTTACATTGAGCTTCAGTGTTAAAAATTCCTTGAAACTATTTTTTTATTAAAGCACCTACAATTAAAGATAGAAATTAGTCCTAACCTGTTTTAGCAATCATAAGAATTTGATCAGATGATTAAAATAAGTGGATCTGATCAAGCCTTGTTTACAAAGTTTAGTTCTCTAGTCACAATTATCATGTTTTTAAGTAAAAGGTTGGTCACCTAAAATTAAAATTGTAAAGAAAGTGAACAACACAAAAAGAAATCATTGTTATAATCATTAAAAAATATTATGTAATTAGATAGGATTAGCTAATAACTAAATTTATATTCAAAATTCAAAATAGACTTATTTTGAAATTACACTGAAGTTATTTTGAAGATGATGTCATAGGAATTATTCTGTAACTTGAAATATATAAATCTAGTATGCTTTTTTAGATTACTTAACTGCATTGAGTTCAATGACAAATAGAACTAATTAAATTATATTATAATGGTGCCCATAGGTCTGGAAACATATATATATTTTTGCATACATTGAACATGCCCTTGATAATATCAAGTATATTTGCCAATGCTTCCAGATTTTATGGAAACCATCTTTGTACTTTATATTATCTTATATTTTTGAACTTGTTATTATCTAACATTTTTGTGACCTTATAATTTACATGAAAAATTTTGTTTTTAAGCCACAAAACTTTTAAAGAATAATATTGTCTGAGGAAATCTAGCAATAGCTATTGGGGCTATTTCCTTGAACTTGGATACATTTTTAACTTTGAATGTTTTTAATTCTGTTTATTGAGGGGTCATCTGAAAAGAAAACAAAACAAAAAAAAAACAACATAAAAAACAAAAAAACACTTCCTGAGACTGTTTTCATCCACGGTGCAGCTGCTCATACTAACCCTGTGATGCCACACCAACTAAAATCCAAGTAAAAGTTATTTTTAAGATGTACCTGTGCCTTATTATTTGAATAATAAGACTCTACTTGGCTTAAGAGGACGACGGGTAGGTTAGCGTTAGGTGGCATCAGAATTAGAAGATAAGAGAAAGCAGATTAAATTGGCATTTAGTATTTGCTAGGATAGGCGAGAAGAAAAAAGTCATTTTCATGTTTGTATAACGATGGTGGTGTGTGGGTGTTATTATATTTAGTTCCTGAAGCAAGCTGTGACAGAACAAAAACATTTTTTTAAAAATTGTGTGACAAAATGGAGTCTTTAAAAATGAGAAATTAGAATTAGAAAAACGTTTCGTTTGTAAAAAAAAAAAAAATTTGTGAAAAAAAAATTTGAACTTACCAAGCAGACCTGTCCCCAGTAGAGGGTTAAGTAGCTGTGGCACCACAGAGTTACTGTTGAGTTTAGCTGGACCAGGTGTGTTCCCAGCACTATTAGATATATTCAGCAATGTTTCTGCCATTGACACCACTGCTGTCCCACCAAGTGTTGAGACAGTCAGTGCTGCCACTGCTGATGATGCAGTGGTTGTGGTAGTGGTGGCCTGGGAGGAGGTTGCTATGGAAACCTCTGGATGGTTAGCGGTGTGGGCCGATGCCGAGTTCAGGACACCTCCCAGCAGCTGGGGGTTCAAGGCCATTAATCCCGAGGCCCCAGGGACAGCTGGGAGGAGCAGGGGGTTGGAAGGAGCGTCACTGCCTGCAAAGCTGGGCACAGGGTTCCCCGGGGGGCTGGTTAAGAGGGCCTCAGCCCGGCCGCTGTCTGACTGATTGCTTGGCAAGTGGTCTGGCGGGGCTGCCATCTGTGCTAAGGAGGGCACAGGGGTGTGTGGCTGCGGAAGGAGATCCGAGATGGTCAGGTTGAAAGGTGGCAGGGGGAGCACGGCAGCCGCGTGGGCTTGGTTCTGAAGCAGGGCCGCTAGGAGCTGGAGGTGGACGGGCTGCAGGCCCTGCCCATCGTCCCCGGACAGGAGAGCTAGAGCAGCGCTTACATTGGGGGTGAGGAAGCCTAAGGGGTGGAGGTTGGTCTCAGACTTGCCTTCTCCCGCCGAAGGCTGGAGGATATGGAATAGGTTCTGGCTTAGGAGATGCTGCTGGTTCACTGGCAAAGAGAGAGGCAGAGGGCTGAGGAGGCTGGGGTTCAGGGGGTGTGGAGGATGGCTGTTGGAAGTGCTGTTGGGAGGAAAATGCAGTGCGTGCTCCTGGCCGGCGAAGGGGAAGTCGCTGGCCGCGGGCAGCGGGCCCGGCAGCGGGGCGCCGGCCGCCGTGGTGACGATGACGCCGTCCTGCAGGACAGAGGTGGTCTTGGTGATGGCCGGGTGGCTGGCGCCGGCGATGGCGATGGAGGAGGAGGGTCCCGCGCCGCCTGGGATGGACACAACACAGAACAGAAAGGCCACGGTTACTGGTGGGTGTGAAGGAAGGCAACCCCACGACAACGCATGGAAGATGCATTTCAGCTGATTCATTAGCTGTCACCCCTAGGGGTTTTAATCAGAGAAACTGTGGCCAGAGATGATGCCCCACCTGTTAATGACACAAGTCTCCTTTGAAAAGTAAATTCGTTGGAGAAGTTTAGGTTACTAAGAAATGGCTTGTTTTTCACAGCTGGACAGAGTGAATTTCTGTAGCAGTTAATTTGCTTGGGTTAGATAGAAGCAACAAGCCTTCATTTAAAAAAAAAAAGTTTTCCTTTTAAAAAAGTTTCTGTTTATTTGTAATACTGGTACTTGCTTTTAGGACAAAAACAAAGTAGAATATGCATGAGCGTATAAAACAAAATAAAAAAATACTTATAACTATTTTAATATATTAATGTATAGTTTTTTTGGACTTTACCCATCTGTATTTGTATACACACATATGTATACATATATACATATATATATACATGTGCTACATATTTTAACAAAAATGATATCATACTGTCAGTACTTTTTTCATTTATCAACATATTGTAACTACCTTTCCATGTTAACTCTTCTAACTACAGAATTATTTTACTAATATCATGTATGGATATACCATAATTGAATCAACATACAGCTGTAATATTTTGATTGTTTACAATTTTTTACATGGCAAGTAGCACTAAAAGTTTTAATTCATCTTTGTCAATATACTAAATTACTTTCTAAAGATAAAGTCTTGAAAGTGGAATTCCAGGGACAGAAGAGTTTTCATATATTTAAAGCTTTGAATACTTCTTGTCAAACTGCCCTCCAGCAAAGTTGATCAATATACATTCAATTTCCATTTCTATAAACAGTGCATGGTAGTGCTCATTCTTACTAACATTACATTTTATTATTTTTTAAATCTTTGATAGCATACAGGTACTTTGCACTCATTATTCCTTAAGTCATGCAAGTCTTTACTCAAACAGCATTTTTAATCTTGAAAGTCTTATGCAAGAGATGAAAATTCAGGAAATTTAATATTTAAAAATATAAAATTTGGTTGCTTGTTTTCAATCCAAGCTTCATGATAGAATTACCTGGATAACTTGATAAAAAAAGAAAAGCAGATAGGAGAAGAGAGGAGAAGAGAAGAGAGGAGAAGAGAGAAAGGAAGAAAAAAGAAAAGAGAAAAAAGAAAAGAAAGGAAAAGAAAAAGCAATGCCTTTGGGCCCTATTCCAGACCAGTTCAAAACCCATCTCTGGGGCACACTCAGTCTGAGCAGAAGCATTTTTTCAAATCACCCCAGGAGATCCCGATGCACATGGGGTGGGTGAGGAGAGTGAGAATCACATCTGTTGAAAAGCAACCTGTAATCATTTTTTCATAAAAGGCTTTTCCCTAAGGAGATGCATTGTTTTATGTGATACATGCATTTGGCAAAATTTATTATTACAAGCATATGCATTTAATTTCCTATTAAAACATAAACATTTATATAGTATAATAAACAATACCACTGTCACTGAAAACCTAAAATAGTTCAAAAATTTACTGCTGTACTATGCCATCATAAGACATTTTACATTTGACCAAGTAACCATGGAGACCTTGTCCAAACACTTAAAAATATTTCCATAGTTATAATGGCACAAATACTATTTTATCATCTGTTTTCTAGCGAAATAACATAAGAATTTTTCCTTTATGATAATATAGACTTTGTATTAATATTTTAAACCATGTAACGTATAGATTGACCATCTTATGTAAAGCATTCTGATACATTTTGGCATTTGGATTTTTTCATTATTATGTATAACAAAGGGATGAACATCTTAATACATGTGATACTTTCCTACCTTTGAATCTTTTCTTAGGAAAAAATTCCATCATTGGCATGATTGTTATGAGAATCAAAAATAGGAACATGAAAGGCTTGTGATATGTAAAAATCTATACAAAATAAAAGGAGTTATCGTCATCATTACTACTGGCATTAGTATACGTAGTTGGCAGTGGTGATGTGGCAATAGGAGTTAGTATATCCAACACATCAGCATATCCAATACTCCTTATAGAATGTCCCTATAGCAAAGCTTTGTAATTTTTCCCAGCTGTCATGTCTGCTTTTTTTTTTTAAAGCTCTCAGTGTTTCATTTAAAGAATAAGATTTTAAAATGCTCACTGTTTAAAAGTATATATTTATAAAATATTATCATAAAATAATGAGTATGTTCACAAAGAGTGGGGTCTGAGCATATCAAATGCTGAAATAGGCATGTGGCATACAATTCTTTAAATATTAATTCAGATTTGTAAATAAAACAATCAATATCTTAAACATTTCATTGCCTCTTAAATCTTGCTTCTATTTCCTTAAATCAGTACTGTGCTTTATTTGCATCTAAAATCTCTGATTTATTGGTAATCACTTTCCAAGGTCTTCTTTCCAATTTGCTAAATAATAATGACTTATTTAAATGTACAGATCACCATTCAGAGCACATTTTCAAAATATTCCCAGCATGTAAGTGACAAAGCTTTGTAGAAGAAGGATTTCGGTAGAGGTTATTCTTTTTAATCTTTGTTTTCCAAGAGAAACATTTATATTTAAGATTCAAGAAAGTGCCCCTTTGGGGACATTATTCTAAAAAGTCTCCATCTAAATATTATTGAAGAATGACAATATAGAAATGTAGTTACTTTGGATGTATTTTCACATTATAAACAAGATGATGGTGAAGAGAACAACTTTCTCAAGAGTAATATGCAGATGAAAGGCCATTTTTTTTTTTTTTTTACTTTCTTCAATTTTTAGCCAATAAGTGCAAACAAACAGGTATCCTCTTCTGAACAGAAGGAGAGAAATGATTATACAGAAACAAAAACCAGGCATAAAAACCACAAAACACCCTGCCCTTTCCTGCAGGAACTCAGTTGAGCAATCTTGAGCACATAAACCTCCCTGTCTCTCTGTTTCTTCTTTCAAAGACACATTGTTGAGAGCTTATTATGAACCGAGAACTAATGTTCTTTTCATATAGCCAGTGTAACTGTAATGGCTAAGAGCTGTAATAGGTATATAACAGGAAGGCAATTGTAAAACTGAAGGTGTCAGGGAAAACTAAGCAAGTGGTAATATTTGATCTGGGATTTGAGAATGGAAAAGGAGAGAAAGGGCTTCTAAGTAAAAGGAAAGTAATTAAAAAACAAGACAAGGAGGTAATAAAATGCATGGAGAGAATGGATTCTTACATATCTTCGAGCAAATAAATATGACTGAAAATATTATATGCTGCTTTCCCAGACACACTGGCCCTGCCACCCACAGTTAAACATGTGCCTTAGACAACAGGTAATGAAATTTGAAATAATCTTTCTAAACCATTAAAGGCAAGGACCACTTCCTATTTTCTTCAGCATTCCAAGACCTAACAATCTCACACATGGTTGGCATTCAGAAAATGTTTCTTGCTTGAATTAATCTCTTAAGGGGTTCAGAAAACTTGCACTGATTTTCTAGAAATCAGATCACTTGCATTTGATGGATGTGTGTGTGTGTGTGTGTGTGTGTGTGTGTGTGTGTGTGTGTGTGTGACATGTGTGTATGTGGAGAAAGAGAGAGAATACCACCCACTGAAGGAGAAAGTAACAACCTGACTCTCCCGATGCCAGGAGATGAGATGTTGGAAAGGAGGTGGCTGGAAGATGCCAACATACTTTAGAAGGCTCCGGGTGGTCTAGGGAGTTCAAGTCTCCACAGAGAGGAAGAGTCCTCACCAAGTACTCAGTTCCTAAGGTCGCTCACTAAGGGTTGGGGTCATTCAGAGGACCCTGGATTTTTACAGCTGGAGATAAATTGGAGGTTGCTTATTTCTGAACCCTTTAGGTAATCTTGAATAGGCACTCTCTGGTGAACCTACATCACAGCTCTGCATAAAATTCTTGTCTGTTGAAGCATTTGGAAAAACAATGGTTTTCTTCTTCCCTTTTCCCATTTCCTTGTCTCTTTTTCTTTTTCCTCTTTTCTTTCCTCTTCCTGCCTTCTTTCCTGCCTGTCTGGCTATCCACCTTTACTTAGTTTGCAGCCAAGATGTTTCATGCTTCATCTAATAAAATGAACAGTTAAGAGAGTTTTTGAAAAAGCAAACTATTCATTAACCAGTTAGCAGTTAAATAATCAAAAGGCAGCTGGGAGCCTGGGAAAAATAAGTCGGAGAAGTCCTTTAATTGGAAAAAGATATTATTTCATACCAGCCAGCAGTACCATGGACTGGCATAGTTTTTCTCTTTGTCTTTGTTGCTTCTGAAGAAGAGAGAAGACATATAAAGCTACCCAAATAAACCTTCCTGGTGTGAGATCATGTGCCTTGATTCCCAATCAAAGGGTGAGTTTAGCATAATGAGGAAAGGACTTGTCCAGTTGGGTTGATTTCCAAATATAAATAGTATGCTTTGCACACACATATAGTTTATCTCTCTCTGTGTGTATATAGAAATAGCATCAACAAAATTTTTCGAAGAAATTTTTAAGGCTATTTTCCTATTACTAATTTTCATTCTTGAGTTTTATTTGCCTCATTAAAAATGCTTTTCAAAACAAAGGTACTGTTTACTTCTTTAGATTTATCTTCTGTGACACCAATATTCTTTGAGAAAAGTCATTGTTCATATTATGCTAAATTTTTAAAAGGCTGAATCTTAAAATATTGTGGACCAGTAGTTTTATTTCTAGCTTTACCCAGTGGCCAGATAAGTTTCTATTGAACGAGTACAAAAAAATGTTTTACATAAATGCTAAAGGCACGATTTAAAATTAAATACCCATTGCATTTGGAAGTTATTTATTACACATTCTTAAAAATATCTAATATCTTTTTAAAGTATGATACTTTGTAAAATACTGTGTAATCTGAAGTGAGAATTCTCGTGATTCATCCGCAATGTGTTAAGTATTAATATTGT